TATATATATATATATTATTATTGCACATTAAGTGCTGGTGTTAATCAAACTCAATGCAATATAACGAGAGCTTATAAATTAGACATTGATAAATATACATTGCTTTTTGATTGCAACACGATGGAAACACCCCATCAGTATTCTGAATTCACCACACGAAATATATTCGAGGTGCTACTTATTATATATATCTGAATATTGCGCTGTGCAAAAGGGATAAAGAGGCAACAGGCGTTATCATAAATATAAAAATGAAGATGCACAATATTCCGATTGCTGGATATATATATATGAAATATATATATGTTTTTTAATCTTCACTTTTATATTTATATTGATATACGCCTATCTCTGAGCACTTTTATCCCATAAATACACACCTTAAATATATATATATATATATATATATATATATATAATATAAGATGGTGAATTCAGTTCCATTGAAGCGCAATGTTCAGATGGTGAATTCAGCATTGGTGTTGTGCATGAAAACTCCGTTTCATGCTACCGGTGAATCAAAAAAAAGAAATGTATATTTATCAATGTATAATTTATAGCTCTGTTATATTGCATTGCTACTATTTGATTAACACCAGCACTTAATGTGCAATAATAATAATAATAATAATAATATATATATATATATATATATATAGAGATATATATATTAAATACGGAAGGCAAGGAAGATTTCATTAATTTTAGTTTTTCCACGACCCTTACGTCTTGGTGTTTTATAGGAAGAAGGGAGTACAGAAATTTTCCATAATTTTCATTGTCCCAAGGGCTTGTCTCTTAATCCCGCAAAACGGAAAACCATGTTTCCGTGTTTAATGAATGATATATAAAGAAACATTGCTCTGCCCCTCCCTCATATATATATATATATATATATATATATATATGTGTGTGTGTGTATTTTCTATATATATCATATTGTATTTTCTATATATATGTATTTCCTATATATATGTATATATGTATTTGCTATATATATGTATGCATATATATATATTTTCTATATATATGTATGTATGTATTTTCTATATATATGTATGTATATATTTTTTATATATATGTATTTCTATATATACATATATATGTGTTTATATATATATATATATATATATCATATATATTTTGTATATTCTAATATATATTATACATATTCTTGTTATATATTATATATGGTACTTTTGGAAAGTGCTCAATATCAGTGACGGAGCTAACGGACAGGTCTGCCTGTGAAACTTTGGAGTTCAGGTGCTGAAAGTAACATCAATCAGCTAAGACACACACTTTTGATTTTTGATATATATATATATATATATATATATATATATATATATATATATATATATATATATATATATATATATATATATATATGTGTGTGTGTGTGAAAGTGTGTGTATATAAATATATATATATATATATATATATATATATATATATATATAATTATTTATATATTATATGCGCGGTACTTATTAGAAAGCGCTCAATATCAGAGATACAGCTAGCATATTTGGTTGGATTGATGTGGATTGATAAAAGCGATTAAAAAGAAAAAACAAGCGGGGCAGTGCAGCCACTAGCACTCAATGAATTAAAGGGCATGGAGGAATTAGGAAGAGAAATGTTAGTAATGAGGAGAAAGGAAAGAGTAATCAGGAAGACAGTAGATAGTGATTGACATTGCATTTAAATTTTTGCAGATTAATGTTGGCTGGCAAGCATAGAGCCAGAAGGGAGTTCCACAAGCGAGAAGTACAAAAAAAGAAACTGCTAGCATAGAAGTTATGGCTATATCTAGCCAGCTTAACTGTAAATAGATGAGACCTTGCTTCCGGTCTAGTATTGCGCTTAAATAGTAACATGTGTGCGTGTTAAGGAAAACATTATGTAATGGAATTTTTCGAAGCCAATTTTCATTGACATTTTCTGCAGAAGAAATTTCCAAGATTCTGACAAATTAGGGGAGGAAATTATTTACTAATGCCCCAATCTTTGTTGTTAATGTAACAACGTTTCGACTGCTCTACCCTTCATTCGTCCGGATGTAAGTAATGTAAATAATGATAATTCCCTTACTCAGAAATTCAAACACAAAAATTAGGGTTGGGGGAGGGAAAATTATCAATGTTCAGAAATTAGGGGTTATTTTCGCAATGAAGTTGTCGTCATTTGTAGTGAATATATCGTAATAAACTCGGTGGCCGACTAAGAATAAAATTTAAAAAAAATGATTGTGCAGAAGATAATGACTTTTGATGATTTGGAAATTCCTCTGCTTTGGAGCTTCTCAAGAAATCCTGAAACGTGACGCACACACCACAATTACGTTATATCCGCTGATAGTTATTTATGAGTGTGTCTCTGTATACATGACAGCATAAGCGAACTGACAGTTAAACTGGAAAATTATAGCTTGAAACGCGGGAAAATGGCCTAAAAAATGGCGTCGAGTGTTATTTAATGAAAACATTCAAATTCTAGTGATCACAAAGGATATAAAAGATTACACTGAGGAACGAAGAAGCGTTTATGGTTGTTTAGCCAGGGAAAAGCTTTTAATGAGAATAGGAAACTGAAATATTGACAATATATTGCTATTTTGAAACCAGATAAACGTTTGAATACAGACAATATTCAGCGCGCCATTCAGCTTTGCCTATTGCAAGCTTAGTTTAATAATAAAATCAATAATAAAAATGATAACACACTGTCTAGTTGCTGGGAGAGTTGTTTATTTATCATCAATGTCAGTTGTCGAAGATAGGCAAAAAACAGGATTTTAATTGTGGATTTCAAGGCAGAGAAAGTCTATAACTTGCAAATGGTCACTATCGTTCGAAAAGATGTTTACGCTATTAAAATTGTTTGTTATCACAGCGTAACGGCCGGTCAGCATACAGTGATTTACTAAGTGTAGCTTATATTTGGCACAAGTCCGAAATTACAGCGCACCCAGTGAAGATCGAATTCACTACTCAGTCGTAATTGATCTAGCCGGATAAACTTGCTAACCATTACACCACGTGGAAGTGCCAATCAATCAGCATATGAGCCCCTGATTCTAGAGAAAACAAATCACTTCCTTGCTTCCCAAACTTACGTTATCTAACGTTGTGTTTGATGCAAATAGGAACAATGTAAGAAATGTTTTCAGCAGTCAGAACGACTCTTGAATTGACAATTTTAGGCTTTTTTGATCTTGTAAGAGCCAAAAGGGAGAGGAAATTGTGGAGAGCCATGATTGCCCACGGCATGAGGGGGTCGCGACACAGAAGAAGAACAACAACAACAATAGCAAGTTGTATTTAACGTAGCTTACACAAGCACGAATAAGGGGAAGAAAATGTTGTATTACACCTAGCATGATTAAAAATTGAAAAGGCAGAGTGTGGAAAAGAAAAGGTAAACGTGATAGAGAAAAGAGGAAATAGAGAAAATAAAAGAGAAAGAAAGAAGAGAAAATAAAAAAGAAGAGAAAACAAAAGAGAAAAATTAAGAGAAAATAAAAGAAAAAAATTAAGAGAAAATAGAATAAAAAGAAAAGAAAATGAGGAGAGAAACAGAAAGAGAGTAAGACCTCTATCTTGAGTGGTTCTCGAACCTTGTATTGCTTAAACCTTAGTATATAAAAAAAAAAACAACTCGTTAAGCATGTTACTCGTTTTACCTCCTGCTTCTCTTGCCTTCCGTTTTGTCCTATGAATGTAAAATTCTATAAGCTCTTCTTTTCCACTACTTCCTAGAAATACTCTCTTTCTGTTAGCAACAGTTCTTTTGTACTCCTTACGCTTAATGATCACAAAATGAAAACAAAAATGATCAAAGCATTACGATAAAATGAAACAAAAAGAAGACGAAAGCAGTCGTAAAAATAAATAAGAAAATTGTTCTAAGAAATTCCGAAAACGTAAGATTGCAACATAAATTCTATTTAATGAAATTGACTACAGCAGAGTTTGGCAATGTTACTGGCAATAATCTCATTCCTCTCACGGAGAATAAGGAAATTCGAATGTCATGGGAGATTGTTTTGATTTTCTTTTCTTTCTATTGACATTTACCAGCCATAAATCCCGTCCCGGCGGAGAGAAAGGGTCGAATTGACAGTATCGACCTAGTCGCAACTTTTAAAATTTATGCTTGCATCGTGTCTAATTTTCTTAGAGGGTTTATTTGCTGTATGTTGTGTTGTTGCTTGAATTGCGTTCCATTAAATTAATTAATTTGCATCGACGCTAGACATGAAAAATTTATTAAACCAGAGAAAAATCGTATCGATACAAACAATGCCAGAGCACGCATGCGCATACACACGTAATCATTCTCTCTCTCGCTCACCCCCCCACACAACAACACACACACACACACACACACACACACACACACACACACACACACACACACATATATATATATGTGTGTATATATGCATAATTTTCGCATTTATATGTTTAGGATAAAAAATAAAGAGCTGTAAGTTCCGGAGACATTGTTTGTGTTACATACGGGTTTTTATATAAGTTAATGGATGCATATATTTGCGCTCTTTATCATCATCATCATTCTTCGACCTCCTTATGGTTGGTCGGAACGCCATTGACAATCCCTTTCCACAGTGTCCGTTCCTGTATTGCTGTCCCCAGATCGCCAATGTCTAACCCTGTTCCGAGCTCTGGTGTCTGTGAAAGTCAATTTTCGAGAGAAGACACTTCCAGAAGGATGCCATGGGAGTAAGAATGAGACGATTTCCCCCTGCGCTCGGTGGCAGTGGCCGGCAAACTGTAATCGTTTTTGTTTGAGTTTAAGAGAGATTGGTTCCAGTTCTCCGTAAATTCTGTTAAGCGGTGGATGGGATCACAAACAGAAGAAGAAGAGACACTCTTTACAGATATGCAATTAATGTATGTTTGCGGATACGACGTAGATTAAGGGAACGATATCATCACGAATTGGTTCACCCACAACAAACAGGGCTTACAGCCGCATCCCGTACGACCACCGAAATTAAGCAACTTTAAGCCTGGCCATTACCTAGATGGGTGAACGCTTGGGAATACCAGGTGCTGTAAGCCTGGATGTGCGGGTGGTGTAATGAATAATGATTCTGAATTCTTAATCGGAGAGTCGTTATCCAATACCAGTTGCGTCCGTTATATTTACTTAAGTACAAATACCATTTAGATAAGTATGAATTCACATCTCCCCCCTAGCAATGGGTTAATTAGTAGAACTTGTATTACTAAACTATTATTATCTCAAAAAAAATTCTTACAATCTAAAAATATTTACTAGCTTTAAATAATCTGAAAAAGGTTGATAAGCCGTAAAAAAACTAACCCTTCAATCAAGCCCTTCAATCGGTGTAGAGCGTCATAAGTTACAACACTCGACTTTGTGGTGGAAACGTTGAAATACACTAGGTATTTACTCTCTCCCCACGAAGACGAATTGTGACAAAAAGTCAGTTTTAAGATGGAGACCTGTGCGCGTACACCCGGGCTAGGAACAAAAATTCCCCGCAGCCCCGTTCTGCTGGCCTCGATGTGAGTATCGATCTTTCTCTCTGGTGCAATGAAAGGTCTAGACCTTGGGCAGCTGTTCCCCAGACCTGGGCATCTCTCAGTATAATTTTCCTCAGTTGCGATTCTATTCTTTGACGTAGCCGCCCCTGAGCGCACAGTGCCTAAAGACAGAGACGCAACCGAGAGATGATAAACAGACTACTCGAGAGAGCATTTTACACACAACGTTGAAAAACACAATGTTTGCCGAGTTTCGTCGGTACTGAAGAGATCCCAGCAACAAGAAGCCGATGTGCTGTTCCTGTAGGCTAACGCCTGCTCTCACGATTTCTTTGCTACTCAATAGAAATTACTACATGCTCGATGACATCCCTGTTTACCACGAACGAGAGATCTGTTCCCAATCAGTAGGCTCACCTACAACTCATGCAGTGTTACGTCAGAAAGTACAAGAGTCGTGGAATAATATTTTGTATGAAAGAATTACTTTCTGATCTTATGAGTACAGGAATAAAGGCTTGTCTTAGTGACCAAGGTTGATAAACAGGTTATTTTTATGTATATATTATGTTTTCACGCCATATCACCTCTGCCGAAAATATATATGGCGTGTAAACAATTTTTCGTCTTGTTGATTCTATCAATCTGCAGTTATGCATCTAGAATGGTGTTTATTTAGTGCTATAACTTGTGGTATAGACCAACCTCTTTCAAGTAGGCTACGATTTTCTCTACTTCTATCTCATTGAAAAAGTCCTCTAGATTAGTCAGCTCATAAAATTGCTGGCCTATAGAAGCAAGGTCATTACAATTGGTTAGAATATTATTCCTAAAAATAAGTACATGTTAAAATGTGTGTAAAACGCATACAAAGACAAACTAGAATACTTCTTCATGGTGAAATGGTTAGCGAACTTAACTCTCTAGACCAGTTACTCACTGGGTATTCCACATATTTGGTCTTGGGCTACATTTAAGCTACGCTTAGAAACATCATGTTGGACACTTCGTCTTGGTGTAATGGTTAGTAAGTTTGTATCACTAGACCAATTACGACTGAGTCGTGAGTTCGATCCTTACAGCGTAGTACACACTTTCGGTCGTGTGCTACATCTAAGCTACGCTTAGAAAAATCATTTTATTCAGTTCGACGTAGTGTAATGTTTAGCAAGCTTGTCTCGCTAGACCAATTATGAGTGAGTCATGAGTTCCATTCTCACTGGGTGCCTCGCGTTTAGAAACCTCACGACACAAAGACAAAATTATAAATGCCCAACGAAGAAGTGGGTAAGGGCAAGAATGAGAAAATGAAGCGAATAGAGAGAAAAAAACATGTCTATGACAAAAATGGATGAAACCGTTTCGAATCTCTTGAGACGCTCGAGGAAAAGCGTGTACAGATGTGCAATGCTTTAAAAACCCAGTAGAAGAACATTGCACATTAAAAAAAAAGACTTGCCTTCGAGAGGCTCTGGAGAGTGAGAATAGAAACTGGCCAGCCCCGTTATAGATATATATATATATATATATATATAATTAAGTATGAAAATATTGGTAATCTGTATGGATAATCCCAAGGTGGATAAAATCCAGAGAGCTCAATTTTAAATCAGAGCGATGAATTCAATAAAAACAGACAACTTTAAGGGTCCATTGGCTATAATTTACTTCCTCAGGGAATGAAAAGAAATTCCTGCGGAAATAAATTATAACCAATGAAACTTTTAAAATTGTCTATTTTTTTATTATATATATATATATATATATATATATATATATATATATATATATATATATATATATATAACCAATGGATCCTTAAAGTTATATATATATACATATATATATATATATATATATATATATATATATATATATATATATAATATATATAAGATCCATTGGTTATAATATATATATAATTCAATGAAAACAAACAATTATATATATATATATATATATATATATATATATATATATATATATATATATATATATATATATAATATAGAGCCATTAGTTTATAATATATATATATATATATATATATATATATATAATTCAATGAAAACAGACAATTTTAAGTAAGAGTTATAATTTATTTCCTCAGAGAATTTCTTTTCATTCCCTAGGGAAATAAATTATAACAAATGAACCCTAAAGTTGTCAGTTTTCATTGAATTACCACACCTGCGTAAAAACACACACACACACACACACACACACAACACACACACACACATATATATATATATATATATATATATATATATATATATATATATATATATATATATATATTCTCTTTTCGCTTCACCTCATTATGGCAGCCTTAATGTATTATCCTTACTCTCCACTTCCCTTTGTTGGTTGTTTACAAGTTTTTCTTTGTATATGTGTTACATTTGGACATCCGTCTTTCTAAGAATAATAAACCTCTGTTCAAGATTAACATATGTTTTACAGTCTATGCCTCTAGACAGTGGAGGCACAGTGGAGTAATGGATAGTGACTCGGAATGAGGAATCGGAGAGCTCGAAGGGTTCGAATTCCTGTCACATCTCTTACGTTCACATACGTGCTAATAACTCCTTTTCTCTCCCCAACTATAGGTAAATAGCAGGACATACTGAGTGGCAACTGGTCTAGGAGAAGGAGAAGCAGCCTGGAGGGGAGTAGGCTGTGTCAGGCTATCTTATCCAAGAAACACCACCTTTATGCCGGCTTCAGTGCATGTATTGCCCCTACGACCCCGATGGGTTACGAGATTCGCGATTGCTTCTAGACATGCTGTGCGTTCAGAAGGACGTTCATTCTTTAGGAGGAATGAGTGAGAAGTGATATAGGTGTGTCCTACTTTGATTCTTGATAGGACGACTTCTTTCTGAGAAAATCTGAGACTTTGATGCCGTTCTAGAATGGTTTTAATTTTGTAAGTTTTGTTGTTTGAATGGTAGTTCCATAACACTTGATATTTGTTGAGAAAGTATGAATGTATAATTACTTTGAAGTCTGTAGATGGTATTTTTTAAATTTCAAATGTTCATTTTTCAGGGATTCATTTGATGTCATGTCAGCTTCTTCACATCCATTTCCAGCTGAAATAAAGAATATTAGTAACTAGTCTGAGTAATAATAATACGTTTTCTCATTTTGCAATCAGTTTTAATTTGCGTCAATCTATACGAGATGCTGCTTAAATTCCGGGAAATTTGAACAGGGCCGTCGAACTGAACGTAATCTGGGGAAACTCAGATTTACATCTCTTCTGTTCAATGAATAGATACTGAGGGGTAAGTGTTATGGTGATGATGAAGAAGTGAAAACTGCTGTAAGGAATTGGCTGCATTAGCAACCAACTGAGTTTTACGAACCTAAGATGCATGTTCCGCCTCATTTGTAGGTAGAACCCTGTCATTAAAAGAGGATTTTTCGTGAAGTAGGAATATGAACCTGCGATGTATAGCTATATCGGGATGTACGATATGCTTGAGTGCGTTCCTGATTTCTTATATAATGAAATAAAATGCATTAATTTTTAACACATTCTCTAATACCGTCTGTAACAACAAAATTGTACAAATCGTGTAACAGCATGATTATTAATTCCACATGTTTAATATCTAAAAAAAAAACACGAAACAAATTGAGCTTCTTTTTCTAGGGTTTCAGATGAGACGTTTAACCATCTTGACACAATTTGTTGTAAGAATAATTGAAAAACCCTTTTAGTTATTCCGCTAGAAAGAGAACAGGTTAAAATCATTTTGTGTCAGTCTTGCCAACTGAGCAATGGTGAGAGGAAAAATATCATTCAGGCTCTTAGTAATGGCACCAACATTCATACTCTGGTTTCCATCTTCAAATTCCATTCAAGAACCATCAAGAGAACAGTGAATCAGTTTAAAACAGAGGAAACAGTAGAGAGGAAAACTGGATCAGGAGGTCACAACAGGAAAAGGGATCATCATTTCAACTTAGAGCTAAAGAGATTAATTAGAAAAGATCCAACTCAATCCATAAGGCATTTGGCATGTGAGAGAGGAGTTTCAGCTTTGACAGTCCAAATAGCAGTGAAAAAAAGGCTTGAAAATAAAATCGCACATGAAACCTGTGAGGCAGCTTGTTACTCCAGGACAGAAAGTTAGAAGGTTAAAGTGGGCGATGATCATCTTAAATAATTTGAAAAATGATCCTGGAATATATATATATATATATATATATATATATATATATATATATATGTGTGTGTGTGTGTGTGTGTGTGTGTGTGTGTGTGTGCGTGTATTTGAACTTTATTTCAATCTTCAGCTCAATGATCTTCCGATTCTTAGATATAATTAATAAATGTAGAACATGTCATTTTCGTTTATGATCGAATTCATCATGATTCTTCTATTTAGCTTGGAGAGCAATTATGCATTCTTCTTGCTCGAAGTAGAGTGCAATAGTTTTATAAAAATCCTCGGAGAATTCCAGTCAGATTTATTTAATCATTTCTAAGCTGCAACGATTCAAAGCTTAATCTAAAAACTGGAGAATTTTACT